CACACACACACACACACACACACACACACACACACACACACACACACGAGAGTTACTTTTACCGTGTTCTCGGTTTGTCACGTATCAAATAGCCACTAGATTAAAATGGCAATGGAAGGTTTTTGTGCACCCATCACGTGACACCGCATCTGCCACATCATTTAATTGTATCCACCTGAGGGTTCAGCGCAGCGGAGGATGCCGCTCTCACCGGTTGCTCCTGAGACTCCAGACAGAGGTTAAGGGCGACTTCTTCGTCCCTGAAGTGTGGGTTTGGGACTGTGTGTGGGGGCCTCTCCTCTTTCTTGGGAACTGAATTGCACAGTGTTTTGTGTGCACAGTGGCTGCTTATGGCGGGCAGTCTTGTAGGATTCCTGTACTGCTGTCTGGCTAGTCCACAGTCATGACGTGTTGCAGAAGGCCATAATAAAGGCAGCTGCACTGAGATTTAAATAGAAGTTATGTTTCATAATTGTAGCCAGTGGAAAGTAACTGTTGTTTGTTTGTTTGAGACAGGGGTTCACTATGTAGCCCTGGCTGTCCTGGAACTCAATTTGTAAACCAGGCTGGCCTGGACCTCTCAGAGATCCGCCTGTGCCATCACTGCGTGGCCTGGAAAGTAATTTTTAATACAGTCTTCCCCCAAAATAGCTCTATTTCAGTGTTAATCTCTGTTACTTGAGTTTCTGGTCCCTCACGGAGGGCTGCTGCCATGCAAAGAGTATTACGTGTTACGGCCAGTAATCGGTGTTCTCTCCCTGTCTCTTTCAGTGTAACGAAACCTCGTTCTTTTTTGAGGCTCGAAGCAAAACTGCCTGCAAGCACCTCTGGAAGTGCAGTGTGGAGCACCACACGTTTTTCAGGTGTGCTAATGGAACGGGTTTGTCCCCTGTCGCGGTAAATGAAGGTTGTGTTTGGGTTTTGTTTCTGTGAATGTAGAAATGTTTCTTTAGTTTATTTGGCTCCTTATCCTCTTGGTTGCACTGATGCTCATCATTCATGTGTGTGTGTGAACATCTATGTTTATACTAATGTTCTGGTAGATCCCTGCTTGCACCGTGAGAAAGATTCAGGGATAGTTTTTAGAAACTGTGAAAAGCTCAGAACCTGCCTAGCACCTGCGAGGTATGCCACCACACCAGCTTTTAAAAATAAATCTTAGTAGCTGACTGTTATTCCTCCTAGTGTGTGGAATAAATAAAATATTTTGGCTATCTCTATTAAATAGTTCCCTGTATATAGCTTTGTGTTCAAATGTTGTATAAGCACTTGTATTTACAAGTCTTTGGTTTTCTTTTTAAAATGAATTAGAATGCCAGAAACAGAGTCGAATTCATTGTCAAGAAAACTCAGCAAGTTTGGGTCCATAAGTTATAAGCATCGGTACAGGTAAATGACATTTTTCCTTCCTTGGGGTTTGTACATGTAAATAAATTTTTAATTCAGTTATCTACATATAGGCATAATGAAATCTGTGCGCTCTTTCCCCCAGCAGGCCAATGTGCTGTGTAAATAAATGTTTCCTGACAAAAATGATTTTCCAGTTTTAAATGTATTTAACATCACCATTAGTTATGTAAAGTTTATGGGCTTTTAGAGCACAGTAGAATTTATTACGTTCAGGATTTCATCTTGCTGTAATTACCAGTTATTTCCAATTATGTCCTGTGATTATGAAACAAAGCAGATATCCTGGATTGTAGTTGACTGGTTGTGATGTTAGAATACTCAGTTGATCCCGTATTGAACACTGTGTCATTTATAGTCTACCAGTCTTTACGCACAGAACTTACGTATGTATAAAACCGGCTTATGGTGACGCTAATTGCATGTTCCCTTTGTTGAGTGCTGTGTCTTTATGTTTAATACTCTCTGCTGCTTCAGCTAGTCATCGTGGTCTTCTGTGATATTTTCTACATGGGGAAACGGACGCTCAGGGGACTTTTCACAGTAACCCAGCTAGGAAGCAGTGGGATTCATGGCTCCATGGCTTGTGCTTTCCCTTGATAATCAGGCCCAGCTTGTGTGAAGAAAGCTTTGACCACCATGTAGCTAGGCGCTTAGCTCTTTCTTCCTTTCTTTTTTTTAAAATTTTACTTAATCACCTTACGGCCTGATCCCAGCCCCCTCCCTCCTCTCCGCCCAGTCCTGCTCTCACACCCCCTCACCCTGTTCCCCCTCTCCTTCTCAGAGAAGGGGAGGCCTCCGAGGGGTACTAACCCACCTGGGCACCTCAAGTTGCAGCAGGACTAAACATCCCCTCCCACGGAGGCCAGACAAGGCAGCCCAGCTAGGGGGAAGGGCTCCAAAGGCAGACAACAGGGTCAGAGACAGCCCCTGCTCCCATTGGTAGGGGACCCACAGGATGACCAAGCTGCACATCTGCTATGTATGTGTAAGGTTCTAGGTCCAGCCCAGGCAAGCTCTTTGGTTAGTGGTTCAGTCTCTGTGAGCCCCCATGGGCCCAGGTCAGTTTATTCTGTAGGTCTTCTTGTGGTGTCCTTGACCCTTCTTGCTCCCTCAGTCCTTCCTCCCACTCTTCCACAGAACTCCCAGAGCTTGGCCTATTGTTTGACTGTGGGTCTCTGCATCTGTTTCCATCAGCTGCTGGAGGAAGCCTCTCAGAAGGCAGTTATGCTAGGCTCCTTCCTGCAAGCATGGTAGAGCGTCATTGATAGTGTCAGGGGTTAGCTGTCTCACATGGGGTGGGTCTCCTTGGGCCAGTCACTGGTTGGCCGTTCCCTCAGTCTCTGCTCTTTCTTTAATGCTCACCTTAAAAGTGGGAGTGAGCTCTGTATTTCGAAGAAGCTTTTTTTTGTATGTTTGTTTGTTTTTCAGTCCCTTCTGTTCAGTGTGGAGGTGCGGTGCTCAAGAAAGGCTGTTAGGGCCCCAGATATACAAAAACTCAGTTCTGACCTCTCTGCCATCAAAGAGATTCAGTTTACTTAGGCAGAGAAGTAGGCCCCCAGGCCCAGAGAAGCCAAGCAGGGTGCAGAAATGTCACCAGGAGATGGCAAGGGACATTACGGGATGAAATACTTCCACAGGACATTCAAAAAGAAAGTTGGGTTTGCAAGACTGCAGTATGCCAGGCCTTAATTCTTTCCTTTTAATGACCCACTCTGAAGTCTTAAATCTGAGAGAAGAGCCAACCAGTAAGAATGATCAACAGTAGATGTCTAGTACTTCCTGTGAATATGATATCCGGTAGAGCATTTACTCCCTTTGTGACTTAAAATAAAAGTATTATTTATTCCAGGTACTTTTGACTTTGTATGAAGGTTTTTGTCGATGTGTTAATATTTAGCCTTCAGGTTTTCAGAGTTCTTCCTTAGACAAGAATATATTATGAGATATTTAAGAAGCTAGTACTTTCATTCTGAAAAGAATGGGTAACACCGGGTGTTTTGTTTTTGCTGTTTTTCCAATCATTGTATTGCCAAGGCTAGAGAGAACATGCTTAAATTTGTCTCCTTGTCAACAGACTTGCAGCTAGTGTGAAGGCATCTGTCTTATTAGTGTTTAGATGATTAAAATTATAATCGTGCTGTTTAACATATGCTGGAGCTAGTTGGCTTCTACAAATATAGCCATACCTGATTTCTCAAGTTTATTGAAATGCAAATCTTATGGCTACTGGGAATTACTATTAGAAATTATTTTCATTGGATTTTGCATATTAAATATAGCTTTTTTCCAAGAAAGCAATTAAAGGTAACCTTTGCAGAATTGGATGCTTTGCAAAATCTGCTCTGCTTTCATGGGGAATGCTAACTGCCTGGTAAATCTTAATGGAACCCAAATCTATTTATTTGTGTGTAAAAAGCACTAACTACACGCCACCTGTGGGAGAGAGGCAGTTCATCTGTCTGGTCAGAGGTCAAGCAGGACAAGTCTGATTGCTGGATGGTCAGTAATTCAGGCTGTTTAGTGTCAAGAGTTGGCAAACTAACACCTTTTAACCAGTATCACGTGCCCACCTCTTTGTTAAAGTAATCCAGAGATACCCCGAAGGGAAATAGTTCTGGATTAAAATAGTCACCTCTTGCAGGCTGTGAGATAGAGGCAAAGGAGCCTCAGTGTGTGAGTGTGGATGCCTGTGTGTGTGTGTGCGCGCGCTGCATGTTTTCCCATGGGCTCTTTTAGGGAAACTAGTCATGACGTAAGAAGGGGAAAAACCAAACATTTTAAGTGATGTGGTACAGTCAGGTTTTCAATGTAAATTGGGAAGAAGGCTGAGCTAAAGTTAGTCTGATGTTTTGATTCTCTTGTTTTTATTTTGAGGGACCAGCATTCTGAAATGGAGATTGATTAAATCTTTGACTAATTAAGCATCTTGTGACATATTGATATCTTCTTATTGGAGTCTCTGAAAATTAGCCTTTCTTCTTAGCTGTTGTTAAGCTCTTTGAGAGAACAAGTTGCAGGAACTTCCTAGGAGGCCTGGGAAGCAGCATCCTCTGTGTAGGAGTGAACCATAGGAGCTCTTGAGTTTCATGTGTGGAGGAAAGACCCCGTTCTCGGATCTGCACCCCGGTGTCAGCTGCTTTACCCAACACTGCTTATTTTGTCTACACAGTGGCCCACCACAGAGGTATCATGTCCTCAATTATAGGATAGAAATTGGAGCGCTCCCCTGGGAAAGTAATTAAGCTGAGGACCCGTAAGCATGGAATCTGGTATCTGAAGCCAGGTACCTTCCCCTGTTATTTCTCTCTCTTCACTTTGATGCAGAAGCACTGTGGCTTTGCCAGCCAGAATAGAGACAACACATTGCCAGGGTGTGAGTAGGCATGGAAGTGGGGACTCTCATGAGTATGTGCCCATTACTTGAAACCACAGAGAAGGGCATTCTCTAAGAAGAGGTACAGTGTAATATTGATGATGAAAAGGGGGCTGCAGAGATCTTTAAAAACAAACAAACAAAACCCTAAAGACTAAATGGCTAGGAAAAGGCAGACCTGAGTTTTCCACGAGGCTTAAAATTTCAAATTAAATAGGTAAGTGTTCTGTTCTTCCATGCCTGCCGACTGATCTGTACTGCCCAGATGGGGAGTCTGAAGCCTGTTCTAGGCCTCTGGAAGATCAGTTGACATTTCTGGACATTTCTGGACCACAGTCTTATTAATCTTGGGAGTTATTTTTTCTTTCCTTTGCTCCTGAGAGGGAAGCTATGAAGAAAAAAATGAGTAATAAAGTATAATCCCATGTATAAAATGTCCAAGTGGTCTGCACATTTAGTTATATATTTGTGACAATGGTTTTTCCTCTGTGCAGGGAGATATGTATTAGCCAAGCCTTTTTGACAGCAGAAAAAGTCTGGAGTAGGTAGACCTAGTCTCGATGCCCCGAATAATAATGGAGTCTTGTCTCTCTATGGAATTTTTTAAGCTTTCCAGAAAAAGAGCCTCTGCACATAGATGCATCCAAGCTAAAGGAGAGGTTTATTTTGGTTTATGGTTTCTGAGATTTCTGTTGAAGGTTAGCTGGGTCCATAGCTTTGGACCCTGGGTAGAAACATCTGGTAGTGAGAGTGTGTGGTGGGACAGAGTGATGATCTCATGCTAAAGAGGGTGGGGGTGTGAGGGGAAGGAGAGGGCAGGACGGAGAGGTCTGGTCTAGACGTAGGCATGCTCCCTCGAAAGGCACAGCTCGGTGATCTGCTTCCTTCAACCATGCCCCACCGTCCAGCAGTCGATTGGGCTGCAAAGTAGCCAACAGGTTAACCCACCGATGAGACTATTAACTCCACAGCCTAGTCACCTCTCATGTGGGCCGCCGGATGGAGGCCAGACCTTCAACATACAAGCTTTTGTGTACGTGTGTGCATACATGTATGTGAGATGTGTTGGATATGCGGGACGTGCTACATGTGTGTTTGTGCGTGCATGTGTAGTGTGTGTGTGTGTGTGTGTGTGTGATATTGAAATCACAATGCTAGCCCAGGGAATTAAGCTTGGGCTCCAAATCCTCACATGATCTCTGGAAAAGCAGGCCTGTGTGGGCCCCCACACTTGTTGTCTCTCTCCCTGGAAGCATGGTTTCTTAAGTGAGGAGATATGTGCCAGGGCTCAGCAAAAACAAATCCCGCTGGTATTTCGGACGATGCCTTCCTGCTTGCTGTGTGAGCACGGCCTGGGGCCGTCCTGTAGAATTACCTGTTGCATGGTTCACCCACCATGACTTCTCTAGTGGTCAGCTGCGGACCTCAAGGCCATCAGCAGCCTCTATTTCTAACCCGTCCTTCCACCTGACATAAGCCTAACCTCTGGGAAACCTTCCCTTCCTGCTGGTTCCTCGGCAAACTCTTGTTTTCACCCAGTGTAAATCTCTCCCTTCCTTTAGTGCTGCTCTCGTGGTCAGTAGAAGAATGGACATCAATTAAAGGCCTCTGCAGGCTTATGGCCTGTTGAATCTGTGCCTCCCCCGCCCGAGATACTCAGACTGGACTGTGTTCAATTCTGTGGCCATCTGGTTTTACTTTCGCTGATCAAAAAATGTCTCCTTTTTCAAGTGGCAGGACAGCCTTGCAAATGAGCCGAGATCTTTCCATCCAACTTCCCCGGCCCAATCAGATCGTGGTGAGAAGTCGAAGCAAGACTTACCCCAAGAGGGTAGCACAAACACAGCCAGCTGGTGAGTAGTCAAAGAGCCCAGGGCATCCAAATGATCGAGTGCTTTCTTTGAGGCTGGTGTGGGAAACCGGTTCAAGGGGGTGACTGTAGTTATGTGACCTTTTTATTTCTTACTGTATGTTAAGTGCACAATGTGTGTGTGTATGTGCGTGTGTGTATGTGGGAGCACACATGGAAGTTGGGGCGACTTGGGGTGTTGGTGCTCCCTTTCCGTCTCGTTTGCTTGCTCATAGCTGCATATACCAGGCTAGCAGGCCTGTGAACTTTCGGGGATCGTCCTGACTCTGCCTTTCCCCCTCCCCCCGATTTCTGTATGAACACAAGGATCACAGGTGTTCGGTCACACCCAGCTCTTACTTGTCACCGAGGGCTCACGCTCGGGTCCTCACACCTCTACTGCAGATGCTTTGGCCACTCGGCCATCTCCCTTGCTCTAGTCATTCTGTTCCCGAGACTAGAAATTTTAGTTTGACTCTGGAAAGTTTCAAACCATCAGTAACTATTATTACTCAGCATTATTGTTGTATTATCATTTTCTGTATTTTGGAGGAGCAGGGTCTCATATATCCTAGCCTGGCCTGGACTATGTAGACAAGGCTGGCCTTGAACTCCTGATCTTCTGCCTCCACTGACCAAGCGCTGGGATTACCCACATGACCACACCTGGGTAGTGATCAATAATTGCAGTACACAGACAGAGCAGCCCCTTGAATAACTTCCCATGCCTTCCTTAATGACTGCACTTTGTTTTGGGAGGAGTCTTAAGAAGTGAGTATTTTCCTAATTTAATGGCTCTGAGATTGAACCAAAATAATTTCTAATAAAAGTTTATTTTTTTTTGTAATAATAAAGCATTGTTCGTATAATTGTATGGAGCCCAGAACTGCTTTTTTTAAATTACTGTCCATTAGTCTTATCATGAAACATAATACAGAAGTATGTAAGACCTGGAGAGGAACAGGAGCTCCACAAAGAGAGAAACAGAACCAAAATCTCTGGGCCCAGGGGTCTTTTCTGAGACTGATACTCCAACCAAAGACCATGCATGGAGATAACCTAGAACCCCTGCACAGATGTAGCTCATGGCAGCTCAGTGTCCACGTGGGTTTCCTAGTAAGGGGAACAGGGACTGCCTCTGAAATGAACTCAGTGGCTAGCTCTTTGATAACCTCCCTCAGAGGGTGGGGAGCAGCCTTGCCAGGCACAGAGGAGGACAATGCAACCAGTCCTGATGAGACCTGATAAACTAGGGTCAGTTGGAAAAGGAGGAGGACTTCCTCTATCGGTGGACTTGGAGAAGGGCTTGGGAGGAGAAGAGGGAGGGAGGATGGGATTGGGAGGGAATGAGGGAAGGGGGTACAGCTGGGATACAAAGTGAATAAACTGTAATTAATATATAAAAATAAAATTTAATTAAAAAAAGAAGTACGTGAAATCACAGATATACATCCATGTTTGGTCATGGGTATGTGTATGCATGTATGAAGTTTAATCATATCGTCACCATCCCATCTCCCCAGTCAGAAATCCTTGTTCAGCTCATGAAAACTGTTTATTTTTTCACTGTAACTTTGCTGTTTGTATAGCCTTTTTCTGAGCACATCTATTTTACATGTTTTTAATGCCGTGTGACTAGGTCATGGGTTGTGCTCTTCGGGGGCTTGGTTCTTTTTATCATTATATATGGAGCACCAAAGGCCGAGTATTCATTCTATTGCTTGTTGGTCTTTCTGTTTTGCTGTGGGTGGACATTGCTGATACATACCACTTCTTTAATAAAGCCGCCCAGTCAGTTTGGACGGTTGGTGTTCAAAGCTCATAGAATTGTCTTGCTAAGCGCCTCTCCAAGCTTTGTCTGGTCCTCTCCGAGTCTTTAGCCTCTCCTTTAAGCCCCATGAAAACCTGCAAGGCACTGAAAAAGGCCTGTTTCCATTTTACAGCACAGTAAAACATGGTCCTAGGAGCTACAGGGAGGTGGGGGCTTTCTGTTTGAGGACAGGAACCCTGTTCTTTCGGATCTTCCTGCCTTGTTCTTTGAAATGGATTGTTAAGAACCAATATCTAGCCATTGTGTGGGAGCTGGTGTTGCCTGCCTCCTTTCATTTCTTTTACTTCCTTTTCCTTTTTTTACTTCTTCCTTTATTCCTTGCATTCTTTCTAAGACAGAGTCTCTTATAGCTCTGGTTGTCCTTGGAACTGTGTAGACCAGGCTGGCCTTGATCTCACGGAGATCAGCCTCCCTCTGTTCCTCAAATGCTTGACTTAAAAGGCATTCACCACCAAGCCCAACTTGATGAATCATTTTGACAATCATTCACTGCTTTGATCCATTCTCACACCAAGCCCGTGAGGGAAATGAGTGAATATGTTGAGTGATTCCTGGATGTAAGAATGACACCTCATTTACCATTTCTAAAGTCAATTTAATCTGTCTGACCTTAGGTCTCCCCCTGCCAGTCTTGGGGACACAATCCTTTCTGATGATTCTGTAGTGGCAAAAATAAACCATGAGTTAAATTTGCAGGAAGAGTGCCTTGCTATGACCCCCATTTTACTGAAAAGGAGCCTGAGGTTCCGAAGACGGGTCAAGATCGCTGCAGAGTGGGTCTTCCATGTCCTGATTTTACTCCTGCAGGTCCTGAGTCCAGTGAGATAGCACACACTGGGGCAGTCACATGAAATGGATGTATTACTTACTACTTCAGTGAGAAGCTCGAAGCAAAAGGAGCCCAGAATCCCTGTGAGCCGGTCCCTCAGTGCCTAAAAGCTTCATGGGGCAGGTGGACTCTTAACTGAGCCTGTCTCACTTCTGCCACACCCGAGGGACTCCGAAAGGCAACGTGACTGTAGTCTGCATTCAGATGGTCACATGAGGCACCAAGCTAAAGCTTTGACAGGCATCTGGCAGTCAGGGAAGAGGAGAGGAGCTCAGACTGTCCTGGGAAGGACCTTTCTCTCTCACCCTGTCACCTTCCCTGGGAGGCACAGGAATGAGGGCTGGGTGTGAGATACCTCTTGAGACATTTCCCACCCATTTCACAGTTCTGAAAAGAGCAGGCAAGGAGATCGGGGCCAGTCCAAGGTCACCCAGAGAGCTTTCCTGCGTCACGTGGTAATTCAGTGAAGTCAGTGTATTCAGTGTAGACATCTACTCTTCTAACGCTGCCCGTGTGTTTTATTTTAATATAGTGTAATATCTTTTTATGTGAGCAGTATGAAATCCCAGCATGCACTCTTTCCTGTGCTTGTGATTAATAAGCAAGCGTCCCACTGAATAGTACTTCTGAAGCAGTACTTCTCCCCACCTTCAGGTCCTCCTTTTGTGTCTCTTTGTCACTTTTTGCTTGTTTATTTTAGCTCACTGAGTTTAATTAACTCTGCCCGTGTTCACATAGGTGTGCGGCCACCCACACTTTCCAGGGGCCCACACTGCTGGGAAAGAAAAGGTGGGGGTGGGAGTAGGGGTCCTGAATCGAAGCAAACATTTGAAGACAGACCTCTAGTCCTACGAGTTCCTGGGCAGACCCCTGACCCCTGGGCCTGGGGAGGAGGACCATCTCCGTGAAGGAACTCTGAGAGAGACTGAAACGGATGGCGGATGGATGGGGTCTACAATAAGGCCTCCTAGGCCTAGAATCCCAAACTCAGAGAATCCACCTTGCCAGCCTGCCCGCTGCTGTCCCTCCCAGCGCAGCCTTTCATTCACGCCTCTGTTGCTTGGACATAGTCGGCACTAACTGCCTGGGAAAGAAATGGTAGTTCCCATTTGCTAACTTTTTTTTTTTTTTTTTTTAAACGAGGCTGGTCATACAGTGCAGTGTTAAAGTGCATCTGGCCCTGGATTTTTATCCCTAGAGCTGGGAGGGGAAACTTAAAATGTTTCACTGGCTAAAAGTAAGCAAAAGTATGACCTTAATAAATAACCTTGCTATAGTTATTTAAAGCATCTTGAAAACTTTGACAATTAAAATGGCAGAAACCGATTCTTTATTTTCACAGTATTTGGAGATTGAACCCAGGTCCGCATGCTTACAGAACTATATCCCGGGTTTCTTTTTAATTTTTATTTTGGAAGACTGGAGAGGTGGATTAGCACTTAGGAGTACATGCTGCTTTTCCAGCTGTTGTTTTTTTATAGGTTGAATTCTATTAATATGCCCACTAAAGTTTTAGAACTACAGTTTTTGGATTTATCAGCATATAGTCTCACCTCTCACTTCACATTTTCGAATAATTAACAAGTTTGCAATAGAGCTGGGATGGTTAGTTCTTGCTAGCTTATGCTTTTAGCTTGCAGTGCACCAATTTTTAGCTTTAGAAGACGGTCTTTTATTCTTTCAGAAGGGAAAACAGTTCAGTCTGAGCAGATGACTTACCCCACTTAACCTGAACCCCAGCCCTCTGTGAGTTCAAAGAACCCTGCATCCATCTCTCAGTCAGGAATAATAAATGTCTGGTAGCTTAAAGGTCGTTGTGTTTAGAAGCTGCCAAGCTTAGGCCTTGGCACCTCTACGAGGAAGTACATTCCAGAGTTAAGATTCTGCACCCCGAAGCCTGCTGCCCCACCCAGACGAGCTCAGTGCCAGGGCAGGCAGCCAGAGCATTCCTGCAAATCAGAGCTGCCTCCACGCAGAGAGCCCCGGTGTGTGGAGCAGGAAGGGAGGTGGCAGGCAGGAGATACGCGTGTTTTCACAGCCCTGTCTCAGATAAGGTCTTGGCAACTCAGACAGGTGGATTCTTGTCAGAAGTGTCTGCTGTAAGTAGGACACGGGGACAGAATGTTTAGGTAGGACCCAGAATTAGCTAGAAGGGAGATAGTGGTGAGGCCTGTCAGCCGTGCTGTGGTTCCCTGGGGAGGTGTTTGACTTCTTAGAAATAGCCCGCTGAAGGACACGGGAGCCGCAGTGTCATCTAGGTCACAGAGGAGCAAGTCGGGGAGTTGGAGAGATGACTCGGTGGTGAAGAGCACCTGCTGCTCTTGTAGAGGATGGGGTCTGGTTC